AAAACGGAATAATTTGGATTAAAGCCTTAAAGAGGCAGTTTGAAAGAGTTATAGACCAATGTTTGTGGGGGTTTTTTGAACTGAAACTTATATACATACAGATCAGAGGCTTATTTTTCATCTTGTAATAAACAAAACAAAACATTTTCTCTTAATTTACTTTTGTATTTTTTATTTTTTGTTTTCCTTATTGATACCTTTGAAAATGCTGGGACTTTGAGAATCAACAAACAAAACCTATAAAGGCAAAACAAATGTTAAACTTCACTTTAATAATCCTATCGCATAGTGGAATATATATAATATATAATAAAAAAAATTACTTGCATTATCATCTCACTCCTTGCATTATCATCTCAAGAATAAACTGGAGCAAAAGCTTCCTGTTGCATATTGACGAATGTGTGCTAATTAGGATAAGTATTGTTAAGGTTTAAACAGTATTACTACTTTTATCGATACCACTTAACGGTTCGGTACTTTAACAGTTTTCTTATCTGTACTTTTTGTAAAAGAAAAACTAATTGAACAGAAATTAACAACACTTTAAAGTAAAAAAAAACAATAATTGTAAAACAAATAAATAAATAAAAATTCTGTAAAATAATGTACAATGGTTTGAAGGAAAATTACTAATTACTATTACTATTCTTCTGGAGAAAAATCAACATGTTTGCCTTTTCTGGCAGAAGTATCATTGTTGATTTTTAAATGAACGCAAACTGTTGTAGTTTATTACCCCTTCACTGCACCTTCAGCAAACCTCCTAATTCCTGCAGCACAAGGACTTTTATGATTATTTATGAGCATCAAAAGTGGTGGATCTGTTCGGGAAAGTGTTTGACTGCGTGTCACTTCATCCCAAACGACTAAAAATAATACAACGCGATATAACTAAAGCAATCTCCACTGTGCTGAGCGAGAGTGACTCGCTTCCTGTTAAACTGAACAGTCGCAGGTAAAATGCAATGTGAGTGCAGGCCGAGGGGGAGAGGGGATGGGGACAATCACAACCGTACCTAATGTAAATACTCCCTAACATTCTCACATGCATGTCCTTATGCATCAAGATGCCACTGTTCCTGAGTGTATAGGCAGGACCTTTGGCCAAGACTGCATTCTTATTTCATAAAAAAATAAGAATTGTGAGTTTTGATTTAATATGACTTTAAATGCCCTGATAATAAACTGTACGCTTTCCAGATGTACTACAACATGTTTTCCCAGTGCTTGGAGAAGCATGTTTGTTTGTGTTTCTGCACAGAACAAAAAATTCCATTATTCAGCACCAGAAATTAAGAGTTAGGGTGGAGGAAGAGTTTGAGAGAGAGAGAGAGAGAGAGAAAGAGAGAGAAAGGGGGAGGGAGAGAGAAAGAGAGAGAGAGAGAGAGAGAGAGAGAGAGAGAGAGAGAGAGAGAGAGCGCAGTCTGGCACTGATTAAAATACTTTGGCCAAGGTGCCCCTGGGTGTCTCTGCTGGAGACTTGTGTGTGTGTGTGTGTGTGTGTGTTTGTGTGAAAAAGATAGAGAGAGAATTCTCGCAGTGCGTTTACACAGCTGGGAGATAACTAGTTCCAGACTGAACCTACATCCACAGAAACCCAGAGCTCCAATTTCTTTTTTTATCTCTTCTCAAAAAAACAAAAAACAAAATTCTGCATACTACAGTATTTACTACATTACTGTACTGAAACTGGCTTAAACAATGGTGTTTATATTCCAAACCTGTATGTGGACAAAAAACAGAGAAGACTTGGGGCATAAATCTTGTGCTCTTTCAAGACAACATAAGACAAACTTTATGAATGCTTTTCAGTAAATTTAATTTAATTCACCTTTATTTGTATAGCGCTTTAACAATGTAGATTGTCAAAGCAGCTTCACATAAATTGTCATAGTAAATTCAGTTAATTTAAGCTCAGTTCAGTGTGGTTTATCGATCCCAAACCATGCAAGCTAGAGGCGACAGCGGAGAGGGAAAAAAACTTCACCGATTGGCGAAAGTAAAGAGAAAAAAACCTTGAGAGAAACCAGACTCAGTTGGGCACGACCATTTTAATTTCTTCGCTGGCCAAACGTCTTGTGCAGAGATGCAGTCTCAGCGGCGGAGGCTGGAAGCTGGCCTCAGCGAAGACTCGTCTATCCCTGGAACGTGACTGGTCTCATGCTTTCCACTCCTCTATGACCACCACAGCAGCTGCTCAGGATACGGCCTGGTCCAGCATATGGAAACCTTGGGATCATCTTGTCGCTGGTCTTGGATCGAATCAGTGACTGCATAGTCTGAGGGCCTCGTGAAGAGTATTCCCAGGTGGAAATAGAGAATAGAGAGAATAATTAGCGTAGCTGCTGTTAATAGTGTATATAAACAAGATGCAGAAACCTGTGTGGAAACCTACTAAGTGATGGACTGAGTGTATGCTTTACTAAACAGATAGGTCTTTAATCTAGTTTTGAATTGGGAGAGTGTGTCTGAGCCTCGGACATTATCAGGAAGGCTATTCTAGAGTTTAGGAGCCATAAATGAGAAGGCTCGACCTCCTTTACTCCACTTTAAAGTAAAGCTATTGATCTCAGTAACTTCTACATGATCATAAGCATGTAATCTGCCATTGTTGTTGTTAATTTTTGCATAATATAGCTCTGTCTGACTATGGACGTGACATGGGTAAAACATCATTGTTTCACAAAATATACAGTCTAGCACCCAGTTCTAAAATAACAGCAGAATCCCTCTCCTAAAACACTGAATCCATCTGGATGAAATGCAATATGATACAAAATTTTGTGCATATTCAGCTTAACGCATGTCCATGTGGAAAGGGCCCGATGCCTTCAGGTTATTCACATTTTGATTGAAAATGAGAACTAAGCAAAAGTATGTGCTTATGCATGAACAACTGCAACACTAGAATTTTCTCTAAGAAGTAACTCGTGTCTACTTCCTCTTGAATCTGCACTGAAATGATGGTAGTGGCTGTCTGTTTTCCATGTTGTGATTTAAATGCAGTGTTTTGTTCTGTACTTGGTTAAAAAATAAACACAAAAGTTACTGGAATAAAAGATTTATACACACAAAACACAAAATATGTGATGATTTTTTTTTCTTTTCTTAATTTTATGTCAACTTGAAAGATACCATAGACATTTTTAGCTTCTTTTTTTTAAATGAAAATGTTATTTTGCTCTTTTATAAACTGATTTACTTATAAACTTCCCCCGTGCCATAACAACATGCGATGCGACAAGATTCGAGCAACAAGCAATTTGGCTGTCTGCACTAAACTCAACGCGACATGACATTTAAATATCAGACACTGCAATTCCAACGAATTGGGAGGCATTATATAATCATTACATATTTAACATTAATAGTCTACTAATGTTGTTGGTTTGCACTGAGTCACAGTTCTGACTTTCATTTTCAGTCAGTTTGGTAGTTATTTTATTTTCAAGATCCGAAGTCAACTTTCTGCTTTCAGTAGTATGGCAATAAGTGTAGTTTATTTATAAACTAATTTCGAGAGGATCACGTGCTTATGATTGCTTGGACCAGCATTATCTAATTCACAATGCACCAATCAGACGATTCCTAAGCTACTATAAATATCCTAGGTTACGTATCACAGCTATTTTCGTTTTGAAGAATCCCCCCTTCCACCCCCACTACTCCTCCTTCCTAGATGGGTGGCACGGTGGCCCAGTCCTTAGAACTGTTGCCTCACAGCAAGAACATCTCCGGTTCCAGTCTTTACCAAACCAGCTGACATTTCTGTGCAGAGTTTGCACGTTCTCCCCGTGCTCATGTGGGTTTCCTCCGGGTCCCTCGGTTTCCTCCCACTGTCCAAAAACAATCAACCTAAGATTATTGACTAATCCAAATCAACACTATAGACAGGCACCTACCAAGTACTTATCTCTTTAAAGAGCAACTACTACCTGCTCTTCAGCCACCATGATAGGGGATTTCTCGACATCTACCTGAGCTCAAACTCCTCTCTCTCGTCTTGCTACGAGGGGGAGTCTCGGGCTTGAGGATATATAAGCTCAAGGCTTTCTCCTGGGACAGCATGCCAAACGAGCCAAATCAATCATCAGCCAAGTGTGAACTCTTGAAATGTCATGCAAATGCTATTCAAACTTACATTAGTAGCATTTAACACTTTTATCGCATGTCATAGCATCGTGTCGCATGTTGTAAGGACACTGTGTTACTCTTGAAGGCTGGTTTATACTTCTGCGATGAGTGATCGTCGTGACCCACGGTGCCTGCTTTGTGCGTAGCCATGCATTTATACTTCTGTATGCTGTTTGTATTGCTTGCTGCTTGCAGGGTGTTTTGTATTTTCTGAATGCTACTTTAATGTACAGATAGCTAAAATTCGCTTGTTCAGAGGCAGGGACTGGCAGACGTGCAACAACTTTAATCGTAAAGTACACAAAACAAAGTGTTTATCTGGTGCTACTTCACGGGACTTGACACTCAGCGGCGAGGGCTATGTGACTGCGTGAAGGTTGTGCCGGAACATACTTGTGCGATTGAAGGAGAAGTTTAAATCAGTCTTTGTTTTCATGGAAATAAGGGCAACTTGTTACTCTCATTAGCAAATAACAGTGATCCATCCATCAAATTGATTCTTTATTTATAATATCAAGTTTTGACGCACAATTTTTTTTCTAATTCAGGAATTTGTTGCATTACAATAAATATTTTGTGCTAAACTGTCAACATTTTAAAACAATTACGCTAAAACTAAAAAGACAACCACAAAAAGTAGCTGACCTATACTTGGGGGTGAAATTCATTTGGTGGATGTTCTGTGTTTTCTCGCAGGAGGTTTTCTGCAGGTCGGTTGAAGCTCACTCAAATCGTCTCTTCCTCTTTGTCCCCAATTGAGTGATTTTGTTTCAGGATGATGAACAAGTGGTGTTTCTTTATGTTGTCTCTCAGAGGATGTTTGAGTGAAAGAGCTCAAGGTTTCTTTGTGTTGTGTTCTGCAGGTGTTTGCGGCTGGACGGCAGCTGACGGACTGAACCATGGCTCAGTTTCCCACACCCTTCGGAGGTGAGTTGAAGCTTTGACAGACAGACTGATGCGCATGACTTTGTGTGAAGTCGGGTGGGTGGATGTGCATGAAGTGCTGTGTGTGTGTGTGTGTTTTTGTGTGTGTGTGTGTGTGTGTGTGTGTGTGTGTGTGTGTGTGTGTGTGTGTTTAAGAGAGAATGAATTAAAGTGAGTCAGTGAATGTCTGAAACAATCAATGAATGGAAGAGAAACGCCCTCACAGAGCTGTCGTCTCCTTGGCTGTCAGTCATGTACAGGATTTCATGTGTGCTTTTTACTTTCTGTTTCTCTTTTTGGATTTTAGAGTAGCATACAGTGGGACTACAAAAGACTTACAAATTTTTTTTTAGTTTAGATGTATTATTTAGATTATCCAGAGCTTCAGCAATCAGTCGATCAATTTATAATAATCAATAATTAATTATAGGAGAGTAATATATATATATATATATATATATATATATATATATATATATATATATATATATATATATATATATATATATATATATATATATATATATGTTGTAATTATTGTATTGTAAAAAGGGATTTTAATATACAGATTTTAGCATTTACCTTGAAAATGTGAAGCAACTCGTTTTCCCCTTTTGTTAATTAAATTCAATAGACTCTAATCAAATAGGCTCTTATGGCTTTTTTGTACGATATTCTGTAATAATGGTATCTAAAAATGTAAAATATTTATCTTTTTGTTATGTGAAGGATACCCTTTCACTGGCTTTGCATACTTAACAGTAGTGGTTTAGTTTTCTTCTTGATAAAAATAAAGCATCTCCTGTTTTATTAACTGTTTGAAATATTATGAACTAAGCCACTTTGTATTTTTTCAGTAATTTATCAGCATTTTTCAAAAGATATGAATGCATTAAACTCGTCTTTAATTAAAATGTATTTCACGCACAGTTATTTGTACTTAAATAACTGCTATCAGATGGAGAATTAATAATTGTGGCAAGCTTACATTTCATGTTACAAAATGTATATAGTTTGTTTTTCAACATTCTAATGCCGTGTTCACACCAAACAAGGAATTATGTATTTGAGTTACACACAAAACAAATGCAAACGCGTGAGTAGAGGTGAATTTTCACCATGGGATGTAAATAATACGGGAATGAGTGATGCTTTTGTCAAAAACATGTAGGATTTGCCTTAATCACATTCACAGAGTTTTGTGCACCTCTGGATGGTGTTGTGAACTCAAAAGGCAAAAAAAAGGGTACCAAAAGGCAGAGCAAAACATGCAGTGCACCGCGATGCAGAGGCGGACAATTCGGTATCGGTTCAGTTATAATCATAACCGGTTATTATTGACGTCATTTATCTCATATGCGCTCTGTTGGGAGGGAGGCGAGCGCGAGTATTTATAACGCTCTAACTACTTAAAACTCTTAAACTGTGCACAATTTCACTGTGTGTGTTTGCTGGATCAGTCTTTCACTGACATAAACAGCAAAAGCCCCTATTTCACTGAGATCGAGAGAATGAAAGTACTCCATCTCTCTCTCTCTCTCTTTCTCTCTCTCTCTTACACACACACACACACACAGTGACCCATTTGACCTGCTTGCTTGACTTTTCTTCTCTCGGCTGTTTTACAGCGTTACTTCTGGATACAGTAACGAGCACGTGTTTGCAGAGTTTTTTCCACCGTGTTTATCATGCATCAGCTGTGATCGCCGCTGCCACCTGCCGCTTATCAGTATCATTCATCTGTGAAGAGCGCAGCGCGCAAGAGCCAATCGCAACTGTTTTTGTTGAGTGTGTGACCAATCAAAGAAGTGTAAGAGAACTAGACAAGGATCAGAAAGTGAGCTGGATATTTGTATTTGTTTATAATATTTGCTAAATGCTCATGTTGTTTAAAGGTACAGTTTATATTTCTGACTGTTTGTATTAAATGACAAAATTGTATTACAAATAGTATATAAATATAAATATAGTCATACATTTAATACAAGAACTGCTGCTGTGAAGAAAATATAAAACTGTGTATGGAAAGCATCGTCAATGAACCGAGATATCGAATTGAACCAAATCGATGGCATGATAATCGTAACCGAACCGTGAGACTAGTGTAGGTCCACAGCTCTAATACACAAGCAGGAGAATGAAAACATAGGAACCGCCATTTTCAAATACACAGCTGAGACATTAATCCGTAATAATAATTACATGTAGTAATGAGCCATGGTCGACTCGAGCTCAAACAAACCTTGTCGACATCTTGATGAACAGCTACAAAGCCAAGAAGAACTAAATCTGCTGTGTCCTGTTGTTGTTTTACAAGCCCGTCTAAAAGTGCGAGCGGTTTCACTTTTTTCAGAGAGCTCGCCGCACATCTATATTTGAAATTACAAACTTCTTGAGCTCATTAATAACGTGTGCGTGATTATTGAAGCGCTCTGATATCCGATCCTTTTAGAAACGGACAAACACAAGAGTGAAGCACGAAAAACAAAGGAGAAGCCGGCAAAAACAGCAGTAAATGATGCGTCTGCAACCTAAAACAAAAACAAACTGCCATGTTTAACTATTATCATCACCTTTTGGACTATAATGAACTCGGAATGACGGAATTACTTTCTAACAAGAGGTTACCTGTGCTGCTGAACATTAAAGATGCAGATGAGAGGTTTGCACTGACTGTATATTGGATGTTGTTTTTGAAGCCAAATAAGGACTAAATGTATGCTGTCTGTAATTGATAACATATCGGAGAATGTAAGAGTCTGTATGTGTTCAAGCATTTATTTATTTATTTCATACAATTGCAGACATTACAGTGGGCTATTACTCGCTGTAATTTATTTGCAGTTATAATTTAATCATGTTCATAGAAAGGTTAGTAAAGAACATTTATACACAAGTATTTATGTGTATAAAGCATCTGTTTTGAGAGAAATGCTTTTCATATGACATGTGAACGACCCATACAGCTTTACTGTAGACTTTTCCCCCAGTAAAAATGACGTTGTCTGAAACTTTGTCAGACACCACGCCCAACAAAATAGTACCCTTTTGCCAGTGGAAACCCAAGGAAAAGCAAGGTGACCGGTACAGACTTGTACTGTACTGTACCTCAGTGGAAACAGGCCATGTAACAACAGGTACAAAGTAGCAAACGAGAACTCAAAAAAAGACTTTTTCTGCTTATTCAAAGTGTTTATTTAAAATGAGTTGAAACGTTATTCTTAAGTTTTTGTTGGGACAGCTTAAAATTCCACTTATATTTGCCAAAATTATTAAGTTTAATTTGTTTTGGGACAACATGCAGGAATTGTGTGGAACTCAGCATTTTTACAGTGTAGTTTTAACCATGTCTAGACTTATAGGATGTACAGTTAAAAACATTTTTGCAGGTAAAAATATCTCGCAGGTAATTTAGTGCAAATGAGCCAATGACTATCTTTACATGGACATCAGTAATCGTATTATTATCCTTAATCTGAATAAGACAATAATATGATAATGGTGTTTACATGAGTTGCTATTCCTTTTTACATGTTATAGCACATAGTTTGATTAACGTCATTGCGTCAGCAGGCTATCCACATTTCCTTTCATGGTTTTTCGGTGTTTTATTTTTAGTTTGTTGACTTTAACTGCAGTTCGACAATTTCACTTTCATTCAGGAACATTTCATTCATGCCGGCGTGACACTGAGGTATTTAATGCAAGTATAAACTACTAGAAGAGTGTTGTTTTAATGAAATTTGATGCCACACACATAGGGGAAAAAACTCTGCATTTCACGATGTGTGTGTCTGTGGTCTTTTCTGACTAGGTAGAAGTAGTTTCAGAGAATAGTGTCAAACAACCATTTGTAAATGGAATATCCTGTCGCCAAATGCTGCGAAAAATCCTACATGACGGTAATAGTGTGATTAAGCTGTTTACATGTCTGTACTGCACTTTAATAATTTTACGAAAATCGGCATGCTCCAAATGTATTAATTCGATTTTTATTTTGGTCAATTATGACTGTAGGCTGATTAAGGTAATCAAAAACCGCTGTTTAAATGGTTAAACTCTTAATCTGAGTATTGTCTTAATCGTATTAAAATCTGATTATTGGTGTCCAACGTATTTCATGTGGGTGCAGTGTTTCCTTTAGGATTTTTTCCAGCTGTGTCGTTATATACCACTACCTGTGTCGTTATTTCAATGACAAATGTCGTAAGCACAGTATTACAAGTCGAGATCGCATTTTTGTAATAGCCTACAGCATGCGGATCTCTTTGCTTGTGCGCCGATTTCCTCTGCTTGTGCACAAAACTTCTTGAACGCCCCCTCAAATATAAGCCGCTCCTAGAGCGTGCAGATCTTCTTGTGTGATGTGCGCTCTCAAATAAACGCTGCTGAAGTGCAATTTAGTGCGTTTATGTTACGAGTACGTCTCCAGCATTTATTAGATTTGCTAGGAATATTTATGAATTTCTCAAATAGACCTACAGAGCGATATTAATGCGTCCTGAAGTAAAGCGAAACGACTACACGCTGTGTTTGCTGGCCTCATGCATCACACACCTGTCAGTCAGTCTGTCAGCATGTAACCTTTAAGGGTTAAACAAATGACGCACAGCACTACTACGGTTACAGAAAAGTTTGCACTGTTTTAATTCACTTACCTTTTAATACTTTTGGTGCGATTATTACCAGCTATTAAAAAAATTAAATGTTTTGAATGAGAGGCTCTAATACAGCCCTGGCGGGATCAATTTTGGCGTGGCGCCCCGTCATGGAAGAATGAATGTAGCAGAAACCATGGGATGTTCTATTTGCAATTGGTGTGAACTTGGCATAAAACTGTAGGTGTATGATTTTTACTAACAGATTTTTATGCATAAAACATTGTTACTTCATGTCTTTCGCTAATTAGACACAATAAAACATAAGAGTTTGCTTGTTTTTAGCTGTGTTCTGTTCATTTTATGAAAATAATGGCAGATTTAATCCATTAAAGCTTCATGCTGATGTTTGTCTGTCTTTACAGGGGGGTCGGATACATGGGTAATATCTGTGGACGAGAGAGCCAAACATGACCAGCAGTTTCACAGTCTCACCCCAACACCCGCTGGCTTCATCACAGGTAATCACCGCTGCTTTTCTCGCTGTGAGACTGAATGAGCTTTCATCCGAGCTGATGGTTGGTGAAACCCTTTGGAGTTAAGTCAGAAATGTGGGAACAAATTATTCTGAGTTCTGTGCAATCGCAAATGACCACCAGCAGTGCAGACTGTCAAATGTTGTTGGTTGGTTTTGGATATTATTTCTATGTTGGACACACAAACACAGAGATGTGGAGCAAATGAGGCAAACACTGAATAACAGAAGTAACCTTTTTCCCATCTTCCTTTATTTTTTTAAATGCATACCCCATGCTAATAAAAATTCCACAGAGATTCTTCATGACTGTTTACTGAAACTATACCACTTCCTGTTTTCTGCGTGGATGTCTACTTGCATGGTTTATATTAGGGGTACAATAATACAGACTTCTCATGGTTTGGTTTGGTTTTGGGTCACAGTTTCTACAAAGTAAATATTAATTAAGTAAAAGAAACTGACACCAAATATAAAAGCAGATACTTATGTGCTATAACGCTGTCACTAATGATTAAATCACTGGGGAATATCCAAACGAGAACGTTAGAAGAAAGAATTGGAGCTCTGACATACAGTTGCCCATCCTTTACATTTTGTGATTATATCTCGGTTCTGTTCTGTTGATGTGATCCAAAAAATATGACTGGTTTGTGCTACGATTTTATGGAGATCCCAGTGTAGCGTATTACAACCCATTGTTTTTTGCTTTCCAGGTCTCCGCACAGGTCACATGACTGAAAACTGTCAATGCTACTGTTTAGGTTGTACCAAACGGTTCAATGTTATATTAAATATTGTAGCATCTTTAGTAATATGCAGACTCTCATCAGTCTTAATGAAACGCAGTCTGAGTAATGTTCAGAGGAAACAGGCTTCACTGCTGGCCTACAGTAAAACCTTTGCTCGTTTACATTAGTCAGAAAAGCAAACATCTAACGCTTCTGCAAACATTTGCACAATGCAACTGTGTTAGAGTTCAAATTTAGATCCACAGGCAGTAAACATGTAATGAAAGTTTTAGGAACTGCTTCAACCTTGTAATAAATGCATTTACTTAATTCTGTAGTGACCACTTCTATTTTACTTTTGCAAGCGAAACAGGTACTATTGAATGAACAAAGCCATACTATGAGACTATGAAATACTATGAGATAGTGAGCAGGAAAATAAGTGGACTTTCTTCCAACATGTGTACATTTAACATTAGAAAAGAATGCCAAAATTTTGGAGTCTTTTACGCTTTTGTAGTTTACAAAAGCAATATGATTAAATGTAGCTTTGGGTACTAAAACTCTGAAGCCAATATGGAATAAAATGTCTATTGTTTTATATTATGTTTTATCTTTTCATATTACATGTATTACATTAGTTTAAGTTATGGTTTGCGGTAATACTTTCGCCATCGTTTGAATGACCATACACTTACACATTACCGTGGAGAAGATGCAGGCAGAACCAGTGAATAAACATTGCCAGCTTGAAAGTACTGTCTTTGCATTTTAGGAAGCAAAATATTATGTTTAGGGATGGACCAGAATGAAAATTCTCGGCTGTAACTGAAAAAAGGAAATAAGGCCGAAAACCGAAACACTGAAATAAATGACGCCAATTATTAGCACCATTCCATTTATGACGATGACTGTGTTCTAACCTTACTCTAATCAAGGCATTGCAATTTTATAAATGAATATTAAATAAAATTAAATGTTCATTTAGTTTATTTTGTGGTTACTATGGTTTACTACAAAAACATAGTTTAAATGTAGTTCGCTTTGTGGTTACTATAATTTATCATAAATCCATAGTATAACAATAGTTAATTTTGTGGTTACTATGGTTTCACAACAAAAAACGTAGTTCATTTTACTACAAAAACTAGTAGTTTAACTTTAGTTCGTTTTGTGGTTATTATGGTTTTCTACAAAAACCATAGTCATTTCATTCAGCGTCAATCTTTGAAACCCCTTTCAGGCAGTATGCTTGAGCATTCTGTTTGAAAGGGGAACATTTTCTCCAAAATTGTTTCCAAGCTTACGATTAAATTTCATATTAGGAATCACCAATAAAATTAAACAACTTTCACTTCTAAACTTCCGAATCAAACAAAATCTGCAGATACTTAAGTCTGAGCCCCTCCCCCAGAGAATCATCAGTCTATAGGCGGGGCTTCATTCACCATATCCGCTTGTTAAGTATGACGCCATGTGAAGCGGCTTCCGGGTCCAAGCGCTCTGTCAAACTGTATAGGGAAACTCATCAAATGTTACTAATAAACGTTTACAAAGCGCTGTAATACTTTCGAAACTCATGATCTATATATATCCGATGGCCAAAAGTGATAATTTTTTTATAGATTGTTATAATTTTAGTGTTTGTGTTGCAGCAAGTTCAGAGACAGTAATGTGTACACTATGATTTTATATAAAATTCACTTTTATGTATGATAGGACTATAAAGGGGCCATAAATGAATATTTTCTCAATTCAAATGAGTAGCGGCTTGGACCCGGCAACAGTATATCATATGTCTTGAATTTGACATTTACACCTTATTCACACAGGGCATCAGTGTCAACTTCCCATTCACTTTGAATGGATGACATCAAGCAATGCTGAACTGAATTGTGGAGTGAATTGTGAACTTTTCATGTGCCCACTGAAGCGTCAGCCAATCAGATCATTTTATGCAAATACCCCAGCTCAGACAGTAACCAATTGTGGATTAAATTAATTGGCTTACGCTGCTATGGCAGTCATGTCAACCCCAACTTCAGACAAGCCTTCCGTCAAGCGTTGACACTGAAGACAGACAGTAAAGTATCGGGTCAGGCATTGGTACTGTTTTAAAAACACTGATTTGGCACTGCTATTGTAAAGCACTTTGGTCAGTCTTGTAAATAAAATAAATTTAAAACCATTGTGAAAAACCCAAACAATACCAAATCCTAATGAAATACATGCTGTATTTTTTGCCATCCTAATTTGCCATTGGATTGAGGTAAACAAATCTTAATAAAAGGAGCAAATGAGGGCTTAGTTTGTTAGCTTTGTCAGTGTGATGTTAACCAAATTACTAAGGAAGAACATGAAGGAATCAGATCAGGGTGTGCCGTTTCTCAAGTGTCATTTCACAGCCTTTGCTGATGCCGTTTCTAATCTCCAGCTGAAGCTTTGACATGTTTGTTCCTGTATTCAAAAAAAACAACATCTTTCTCCCTCGTGTCTTTTTGGAGACATTTTGCAGAGACTAGAACAATACATTGACAGAATTGTTGACAGCAATCAAAATTCCCCTTGTGATCTCACTGTACAATGCAGACAAATGGGCAAATTAAATTCCAAAGGGCCAATCAAAATCACAAGACCCAAACCGTAAAAAAACTGCTTGTCCCAGCTGGACTTTGGACGTCTGCTGAAGAGATGCCACTTGTGGGTTTCCTGTTGACCAGCGGATCTGAAAGAGCCTCTTTGTGTCGACTGAAGGACAGCTTGAAAGAGTGAGTGTTTTTGGCTCTGAGGGCATAAAGGAGGTCTGTGTGTGAGCGCCGGGAAGACACCTGTTATCAAGTGTTTAAAGGAAGGCGAAAAGGTCATCAGGTCTGCAGAGGCACAAACTCACAGAAACACACACATCTTCAGTTGCTAAAGGGAAGATATGAGTTGTTCGGGCTGCAGAGGCGTCATTAGTTGACACAGGTTTAAGATCGTGTTATAATATTCTAGTCTGTGAAAGAAGAACAAAACTACAGTTGACTCTTTTACATGTTTGTGTTTGTGTGTTTTCTATATTCAGGTGTTGACTTAAACAATGCTATCTTACAGCAATTCATAACTTTTGTTTTAGTAGCTAATTCATATGAATTTGTACGATCTTGTTCAGGCCCGGATTGGCTAATCGGGAGAACCGGAAGAATTCCCGGTGGGCCGGTCCGTTTTTTGGCCGCGAGGGCCAGTGTCCCTAGCTACTTGCACTCTCAGCAGTTGCACTTTTTAAATTTATTTGTTTATTTGAGCATAACCTCACTCTTTTTAATCATTATTTTGCCGCAGCTCCACTCTTTTTATTTATTTTCTCGCAGCCCCGTGAGCAAAATGCAGCCCGCAGGTTAATGATGATCATTAACCTGCGGGGTGCACCCCATTTCACCCCAAACAACGGCACCTTATTGAATATTAATTAATATTAACAAATATTACACCTGCTCAATGAAAATCAGATGATTCACTACATTAATAAATCTGATGTAACTTGATCAGAAATCTAAAATGGGTACAAGAAGAGTAGACATCAATAGGAGCAGATAACCTAACATAGCTTGACAGCGCCATCGTGGTCTAGTGGTTAGCACGTTACGTAATGAAGCAGCTGACCCGAGTTCGATCCTCACCAGAGAATATGTTTTTTTTCATTTTCAGTGTTAAGACATAAAATACTGTTTGGGTTACTTATGTAGGGATACATCTTTTTTTTGTGTGACGACTGTTACAAAGGACTGGATATCTATAAAGAATTAATGTTCTCAATTTATGAAAAACATTTGAAGTTCTAAAGCAGCTTTGTCCTTGAAAAAGACATGATAGTGTCATTTGAAACTGAATTGGAAATGACGTTATTTTAATGTAGTCAGTTGACTACTGAGGTGGGCCGGTCTAAAGCTTGAAACTCCAGAGCTAAAATAGAGTCCCACTCTGGCCCTGATCTTGTTTGTATGTTTTGTCTGATCTGCTCGTCCCCAAATTATGGCTGGGTTTATGGGTGGAATTTGATGCCATGCATTCTCTCTAAAAAAAGTACATTTTTGTACAACTGAACAAAGTAGCTACTAAACTGACTAAATGTATAAGAGTTAGGTTTTTTCTTGAGATCAGGCGGACTTAAATGTGAATACACACACACACACACATATATATATATATATATATAACTATAGACTAGAGCTACACGAACTTGTGGTATGCGATAGTGTGGTTGAGTGTTTTGATAACTATATTTCTTATGATATAACACTAACTTGGAAAACCAATTTTATCTGCAATTTAAAAAAAAAAACATGTATTTATGTTATGTTAAAACTGTCAAGGTGCAAATATTTAGACCAGAAATTTGGATTCTTATTAACAATTTCCTCACTTGTCTGCCACATTCGGTTTTTATTTTCAGCTCTAGGTTCACCTCACAGCACCTACTGTAGGGGTGGGGATGTAGATAGTAAAGACCCCGTCTGATTGGGTCACATTTAGATAATCAACATATCCATGCAGCAAACTAATTCTTGGCACATACAATTTTTTTAATGTATTGCTCTTCATGATAGTAAACCATTTTTTATATATTTTGTGCGGCTCTAATGTAAACTCAATCTTTTATTTTCTATTAAATTAGTCGCAATTTAACAGCCCTAGTTGGGCTAACAGGACAAAATATACAGTATAAAAATCATATCCAAGTCCCAACAAGGATAGTAAACTAGACTCTGTGTTTGCCCGTGTGTGTGTCTGTGTGTCTGTGTGTCTGTGTGTCTGTGTGTGTGTGTGTGTGTGTGTGTGTGTGTGTGTGTGTGTGTGTGTGTGTGTGTGTGTGTGTGTGTGTTGAGCAGTATAGGCAGTCATGAGGGCAGGAAGTCAGTGTGATAAGTTAGATAACATATGAGCACACTGACTCAGCTTTCCTATCTTACTCGAGCTGTAACCGGCAGATCCCTCAACCCAGAGGCCAGTGTCACTCAAGTGCGCTCGATAAATCCTGCGCATGTTTGCTGAAAACGTGGTTTCAATGGAATTATGTAATCTTACGTAATCTTGGGTTTACCAAAATAATAAAAACAATTTCATCATTTTAATGTCAGAGAACTGTTTTGAGATGTTCCACGCTCTGTAGGTTTGGATAATATGGACACAATATGGTTTGTTTTTACTTAAACATAATTAGTAAGTAGTAGTAAGTAATACATGTTCAGAATTGATGCATGAAATATGAAGGTAGATACTATACAAACTCATCGATTGACAGAAGTTGCAGCATCTTGCACATGAAAAGGCCCAATTGTTGTTAATTTCTGCATACTAACTTTAGTTTGCCCCCATTTCTTCTTTTTCTCTCTCTATATAGGTGACCAGGCAAGGAATTTCTTCCTGCAGTCAGGTTTACCTGCCCCCATCTTGGCCCAGATATGGTACATAATTTCTATAAATATAAATGAATTGTACCACCTTCATAAATCCACTATGTTCTGCTGTTTTATAATTAGTGCACACTGTAAATAAATCATATTACACAAAAAGAAATGACCACAATGCCGTAAAACATCCTCTGACAATGTTTATTCAATTGCAGGATGCATGTACTGTATATTTTATAACTTGTAATTTATTGCCTGAAATTAAATAGTGTTGAATTTACCTATCAATATATCAAGATTTGACCTTAGAAATGTACTGATAACCGCCATAAACGGTTTGTTGGCAAAGGATAAAGTTTGAGTGAGTGTGCTGTCTATATACTCGAGTATAATACATACAAAAACAACACACAATTAATAAAATGATGCAATGAGCTGTTATGAAATGAATTTAATACGAAACACTCTAGTTTACAAATGCTCTTGCTTTTTTTAACTGTAAATTGTATGGTAATTTGTTGTTGCTTCCAAACAACACGACAATAACTTGATCTGTATATGCAGTGGCAACACACTGTTAACCAAGAAACAGTCATGTTTTTACAATATTATATTAATTTAAAACGATTGGTGCGGTCTGTGATTGTGCTGACTAGTGTGTGTGTGTTCTGTATTTATGTGTAAACCTTGCATAGCAGGTTGCAGATCCAGTATGGCACTGGCATATGTTATTGGAGTCTGCTGTGAAAGTTAGTCAGTGTGAGAGTAGCATCATTAAAGTTTGTGTATGTTTTATTTATTTATTTTCGCAGGGCTCTGGCCGACATGAACAATGACGGGAAGATGGACATGCATGAGTTTTCCATCGCAATGAAGCTGATTAAATTAAAGCTGCAGGGTCACCCTCTTCCTCCATCACTGCCCCCCTCCATGAAGCAACAGCCCATCTCCATACCCCCGCCGACCCCTTTTGGTAAGAACACGCTTCTTCAGAGGACTTCATGTTTCAGGACACAGACTAATCATTTCGACTTAAGGTTCTAACCTCTGCCCTTCATTTGATTCAATATTTTTTAAACCAACCGTGTGCATCCTTATGGACGATTTTATCTTTTTAGGTTAGGGTTTTGTGATTGCTTTTGCTGTTTTAATGCACACCTTTAGCATCAATTTAGACAAAAGGTTTTTCTTAAAATTTTAAGACTTTTAATGCTTTTTATAAATTAGTTTTACACTCGAAGCTAAAAAATATTTCCTATTAGGACAAAATATCCTTGTTAAAACTCATTAAAAGGTTTTAATTGATTTCAGTAGGAGTTTTTTTTTGTTCTGAATGTTCTGAGAGGAACAAATCTAGGTAACTTGTGAAGAATAGATTTAGTAAGGGAGTAATGAGTAAAATAGTTTCGGATCTTTGACTTATGTATAAAAATGTGATTGCTTTACCTTCAGTCAATGAAAAATGATTGGTTTAGTTTTTAATAAAGGTGTGACGAGACGCTTACTTCGAGACGAGACACGACATTGGGTTAACGAGACGAGATTTTTGTACTTTTTTTTGGAATCCTCAATGATGAAATGTATGAATGGGAAGTAGTCTTTTATTCAACTGAAAAAAAATCACTTAATGCAACAATTTAGGTGCTAATTAAACTTTTATTTAATGTTATTTCACTTCTATTTTAATGAAAGGACATGCAAACACTGCAAATATTTTGCTATAAACTCTACTGACTAGACAAACTCTGAGCTGCTTAATGTGAGTATGAAGTATGGAGTAATAGGAGAAAGCTGTTTTAAGGAATTTGATACCGCACACAGATGAAAAGAAAACATCTGTTTTTTCCGGACAACATAAATGATGATAATGATAATGATGCGTCTGTGCGCACACACAGAAGAGATGTGTGTCTGTGGTGGTTTACTGGCTTAGTAGGTGCAGAGAATAGTGTCGAACAGCCGTATGTGTATGGCTTATTTTCTCGTATGGGCTACATGTTTGTACAGCGGTTCAATAATGCAACAAAAATAGGAATGTTTTACGTTTTAATTTGAACTGTGTTTACAACGATTAAGTCTTTAAGCACTAAAGCACTTGATTTGTGGATTAAATCCAATCCTGCATCTAATCTTCAGTGCTAAATTCACCTTCACGCTCCATCACAACATCACAACTTTTCACCTTGACAAGAAATATCATCACGATTTAGTCTCCCGAGATCTTCTAGACCGAGATCTCGTCACACCCCTAGTTTTTAAAATTAATTTTTAAAATGGTCAGTGATGTTACCTAGAAGAAAATTCTTGAAAATAATTTTTTAAGAGTCTTTTTAGTCATCAGGGTTGGTGCTGGTAAAAAAAAAAGATCTAGTAAAAATAAAATATAATAAAATGTAATAATTTAAATAATAAATGATGATATTTTTGTATCTTTTTAATTGATGCAGAATTATTATTATAATATATATGTACATCTCATTTGAGAGAGTATTTGATTGGTCCCGATTTGATGTGAAACTGAAGTATGAGGTGACCTGAATAAAACCGTTGATACATTTATCTGGAAGTGACCAAATACAAGCTTTACGTCTATTTTATATCTCCTAAATGCAAATTTTGTCACTGTTTTGATGTGCACTAGCTTATAGATATCGTAAAAACTAAAAATACTGATAATAACTTTTAAATTAAAATGTTAATTTCATGGGACTAAAAATAAAAATAGATGAGCTGTACATCATTATTATTAGCAATAGTATTACCCATCACTGTTATTACTCATTATAATTATTAATAATATGATTACCAAATGTAATTTAATATTATAAGATTAATTATTTGTTTGATTGCCCTCTGCAGGGATACCCTCTATGGGTGCAATGCCAGGCCTGCCAGCAGTGCCGCCCATGCCTCTGCCCCCTCTGCCTCCAGGAGTGCCAGGGATGGGTGTTTCTCCTCCACTGGGCGCATCGGTAACCCCACCCGTACCATCCCTCGCCAACGGAGCACCCGCAATGATACAACCCCTGAGTGGATTTTCACATCCAGGTAAACACACACTCGCACCACCCAGACCAGCTTATGCAGTCTGGTGACTTTGGCAGGATCATTCATGGGTGTTTGTGTCTGTCTCTCAGGTGCCGTGCTCAACAAAACCCCCTCATTCAATCGCTCCAGTATCAAGCTACAGAAGGGCCAGTCTGTAGAGGCGCCCAGGTACATTCACAGATATGCAGACACACATTCGAATGCACACACACAGGTTTGTTTTTGTGTATTCTGGGGACATTAAATTCATTTCTATTGTTTTTATACAGTACAAACTGTATATATTCTACCCCTAAACCCAACTCTCAAAGGAAACTGTACTGTTTTACTTTCTGAAAAATATATTTAGTATGATTTGTAAGCCTTTTGAGAAATGAGGACATAAGCAATATCCTCGAAATTCGCCACCTTCTTGTAATACCTGTCATATCCATGTCATTTGTGTCCTGATATGTCACATAAACACACACACACACACACACACACACACTCGCCCATTGTATTCACAGTCATTTGGCAGATGTTAACATGCATGTTGTCTCTACCTGTAGTGCTCCAGCTGCTCCTCCACCCGCTGACTGGGCCGTGTCTCAGTCCTCCAGACTTAAGTATCGCCAGCTCTTCAACAGCCATGATAAAATGATGAGCGGTTATCTCACAGGTATGCTGATCTTCACTCACATAATCACACTTGACAAGCATCAGACTATGAAATGCTGTTTGATTTGATTTTTCATTCAGGTTTCCACCCTCATCTCAATTAATTCTATAGTGTTTAATACCACCAATCAAATATTTGAGCAATTTTTAAAACTTATTTTTTTTATTTTTGTTATGCTCATGAAGACTGAGTGTATGTCAAAATTAATAACAGAAACCTCATCATTTATTCCTGTGATACTTCAGATATCATGATTTTTTTATTGATATGATTAGTTCAAATGTTATTATTGATGATCGGTTATTAACAATGCTTCTTATTATTATCAGTGTTGAAAACTGCTTAATATTGTTGTGAAAACCAGGAAATATAAATTAGTATATATGTAATATAGATGTTTATATCTACTATATAATATAGACTACTATATCTTTTTTATTATAAATAAGTCTGTACTGTCTTTTAAAAAAAATGTAACTCTGCTGATAAAACCTTATTTATTTATTTATTCATTTATTTATTTATTTGTTTATTTTCTATATACAGTTGAAGTCAGAATTATTAGCCACCCTTTGAATTTTTTTTCTTTTTTAAATATTTCCCAAATGATGTTTAACAGAGCAAGGAAATGTTCACTGTATGTCTGATAATATTTTTTCTTCTGGAGAAAGTCTTATTTGTTTTATTTTGGCTAGAATAAAAGCAGTTAAAAAATTTTTTTAAAACCATTTTAAGGTCAAAGTTATTAGCCCCTTTAAGCTATATTTTATATAGCCCCTTTAAGCCTGTACAGAGCAGATATTCAACCAATCTTCCTCTGAGATAACTAGATTGGATTCTCTCCCATTTTAGTCTGATGTCATTTGTTGAGTGTTTCTTATTGGAATGAATGGAGAAATACAATTTTGAAACAAGTCTCCTATTGTATTTGTTTTATAGATGTCAATAACTAAATCAATTAAGTTGTGGGGATGGTTCTCTAGACACCTAATCTCACTGTTAAATTTAGCAGGTACCCAAAGAAATCACACTTGTCCATAGTGTCAAAGCAGCTTAACATAGAAGAAGTTCTACTAATTTGAAACTGCTTCAATCCAGTTTTTGGAGTTGTAATAATTGTCCACACAAAGCCTAAATTACGATTTTCCTCAGTTTAAATGTGTATTCAGAGTAGTAATGAGTAATAATGATGCTGAAATTTCAGCATTGCCATCAAAGAAATCAATTACATTTTAAAATAAATGAAAATCGAACAGTTTTGTTAAAATTGTGTCAAAAGTAATTTACAAATATTACAGTGTTTACTATATATTTGTCATTAAATAAATGCAGCCTTGATACAGGTGAGACTTCAATTCATTTACTTTAATCAATCAGTTGATTCAGCATATTTTAATTTAATTTCAGTTTTGCACCATCCATATTTTTTTATGAAAATGGAGCTATATGATTTGCAGGTTTGCAAAAATGACTATGGTTTGCAGAATTCAGAGTTCTTGTCATGAGTGAAAGTGGTTAGTCAGAGCAGCTTAGAGGAAAGAGAGCTTTGCTGATTCAACACAACCAGCTTTGTTTCCCCCTTTCATTCTCTTTTTCTCCCTTTCTGCCTCAGGTCCACAAGCCAGAACTATTCTGATGCAGTCCAGTCTACCACAAGCCCAGCTGGCCACCATCTGGTGCGGATCCAACCTGTTTTTTCTTACTCTGTCTCCGTCTCGCATTAAAAACTCAAACAAATCTCTGAGTTCGGAGATTCGTATCAGTGTAAACACACGGATTGGTATCTGGTTATTGTTATGAGTAAATCCATCAGTTGTTTTGATTTCTTTTAACATGCTGTTCTCAGATCTGTGTATGGCCTAAGGCTTTGTTTACTCTTGATGTTAACACAGCTGAACTGCTCACACGTGGACCAGCATAATAAATCGCTGTTTTGCCGTCTACCTGTTTCTCCCTGTAGGAATCTGTCAGATATAGATCAGGATGGGAAGTTGACCGCTGAAGAGTTTATTTTGGCCATGCACTTGATCGACATGGCCATGTCTGGTCTCCCTCTTCCCCCTTTGCTGCCGCCTGACCTTATACCTCCAACATTCAGGTGAGAGACTTCGACCAAACAAAACTAAAGTTACTCTGTTAGGCCTTGATCACACCAAACACACTTTTTGCATTGAGAGGCTTCTCTTTTTGAATGATTTCTAATGGCGCGAGCATTTTAATGGCCTTGCAATTGAAAAAAAGTCAACTGTAAGAGGAAAAAGCGTCCAACGTCAGTCACATCTTTTTTTAATCTCCGATAAAATGAAAGCAAAGGCAGGGTTTCCGTTGAGGAGACAGCAGTGTTTTTGTTGTCAAGACGACTATGGAGACTTTTAAACAGGTGCTCACTGTTTTGAGATATCTGGAGCTGTATAATCATGAATATCACAATATAATTAAATATTACAATTATAACAATATCAACAGCAACGCTCGTGCACAATACACAGCTGATTCAATCATAGCCTAGCCACATAAAAAGCTGTTTTAAAAGTTTCTAATTTTGTTTTAAAGGGCCATGAAACCCCCTCGTTTCAGCAGGGTGTTTTCATACCTCTACTTTGGAAAAAGCCAGAAAAATGGGCGTGTCCAGCTCTTTTTAGGGAGAAGTGTCGGAGGAGCAAAAGAGACATGGTGTGGGAGTGTCTATTTGACCAAGCGCTGAGTTTCAGAGTCAAAACACACACAAACACACGAAGGGGAGAAAGTGACTGTGTTTACATGGACATCTGTAATCGAATTATTTGCCAAATTATTAAATGGTGGACTTTAACTGCAGATTGGCTCTTTCATTCAGGGAATTCATTCGTGCCCCTTATGACAAACGAGATATTTGATTCGAGGAACTGCTGTTAGCGTATATTTTTTATGCAATGTTTGATACCGCACGGCAAATGAGAGAAAAAAATAAACTCTGCATTTCTCTGTAACTTAGATGAATCTCCATTTCCAGAAGACAAAAGCTCTCGGGTAAACAGTGTTCCTTAGACAGTTATTCACAAGTTATTCACTTAGACAGTTATAGACAAGTTATTGTTGTCGCGCGTCGCATACACTGTAATCCACGCGTGATTCCAGCTGCACTCTCACAGAGAGAAAATGAAAACAAAACTTCACTTCAGCAAATTAGGAAAGCAACACTTCACGCTTGTTTTGCCAACACAATGTGGCGCCTCTGCCGTGACGCCGTTTACACTGTAACATTAATGAATATTAATGAAGTTGCACAATAGAGCGCGCTGATTGGTTTGAACCAAGTCTTACTCATGCATTAATGCAGCACACTCAGAGACGTAATACGATACTTCCAGGTACAGTCGCCCAGTCTACACGCTGGAATACACGCTATGATCTCAGGGCCGTGACGCAGCTTCAAAAATTCGTTTCAAACCGGAAGTACGAATTTGCTCGAAATAATGCTAAAAGTACCAAATTTCACTTTTTAGTGAGATATAGGTGTCCTAATAGTGTTTTTAGGAGTTTGGGACACATACACGACTGTCAACAGCTCAAAAAATGTGTTTTGGTGTTCCGTGACCCTTTAAAGGTTTTAACAATAGATTTACATCCATCACACTTAAAAACTCATGGATTTGATCATAATATACTTAGCAGCCACAGATCTTTTCTTATAATGTCTGAAACGGTTAGTTCAAGGATCCCCTCATATTGCAAAGTGTAGACTTTTCTAGTTGGTTAGATGGTGTCATCTTATGTGATTGATTCACCACTTACGAGATATATCAGAAACCAAATGCCAATTACTATATCTGAATTTCAGCTTCAGATGGTTTCTTTTTGTCACATGAAAACACAGCGATGTGAACCATAACAATAGCATAAAAATTTTAAGTCCTCTCACTAGGGCTGGGCGATAAATCGATTTATCGATTAACTTAAGTGTGTAAGTTACACTGATTTGTTTGAATGAAAATTGGTTTTCGCTCTACATGCAACACTCTCCTCTGGGTTCCCGTAGTTCCCGCTGCATTTGCCATAAAAAACACTCACAAGCAAGATCTTGCGAAAACTCTGAGGAAAGTTGCACTCTGTGAAATGGAAAAGTACACCGACGCACAAACACACCCGCCTAAAAAGGCATAATTAAGGGCTCTCAGCTTGTGTCTCATTCGTCATGAGACACAAGCATTTTAACCTGCGCTCCACACCTGGTGTTTCTCACGATGAGAAGTAATAGACAATTAATAGACAAGACACGAATATGAAAGGAACTGTTAACGATCTAATGTTGGAGTTCAACATTGCTGTTTCTGGATAAATTACATGACCCAAAGAAAAAAACTCGCTCAATGCAGCGAATAATCCAGATGCAGCCGGCTGACGCAAATAAATGCAATAAAATGTAAGCCACTGGCCTAGCATGAGTAATTAATATAAAATGAATGAACCTCTATATGTATGTACATGTTGAAATAAACCGTATAAAAATAATGGGGAAATAAATCACCTTGAAAAAGGTCCCCTTTTAACAATCATTATGAGTTTACTTTCACTGTAATTTTATAAATGGTTTAATTGATATTATCATTATTATTATTATTATTATTATTATTATTATTATTATTATAAAAGTATTGAATACAATCTTGTTAAATTTGATCTTTTAATGACAGCTAGCAAGGTTCTTGAGGTAAAGGTTTTTTTTTCTCTTGCATTTTTCTATATTATATAATTATGATATGCTTAAGCTAATTATATAGGTTAATAACCTTAAACCTTTTTTTTGTAACCCTTAAAAAATTGTGTGTGAATAATAAAAAAAAAGCTATACATCATATACTATGCATGCATTTCTGCACATATGCAATGATAAAATTAACATTTTGACTCTGGATGGATATAAACCTGGTGTTGGAGACCTTTAAAACTAAATTAGCAAACATGTAGGTCACATTAAAGCTTCCTTTTGCAATTAATTTACCATTAGCAACAACAAGCAGATGTGTAATTTATTTGTGCAACTATATTGAGCTTAAAAGTTTGACATCTGTTGTGCTTTTTGCCTCTTCTCTAGAATAAGAAGTCACCGCCCTACCTTGCACTTTACTTTTGCAATTTGACCTTATCATGTTAACAACAAATTTAAAACCGCTACAATACATGCCACATGAAAGACAAAGTCATGGTCTGCAAATGTTTGATACGTTTTATTTCCACATGACTCTTTTGCAATTAGAGACACTTGATGTTTCCATTCACTTAATGTTTTTTTTGTGTGTGTGCGTAGGAGAATGCGCTCTGGTAGTGGAGTGTCTGTGACTAGCATGCACTCGACAGACTTGCGGTCTCAGGAAGAGCCAGAGGAGGAGGAGAAAGAGGCCGAGAAAAAACTTCCAGGTCAGGAAACATTGGTTAAAGTTCATGTGGTCTCAGATGACAAGTATACCCCAGAATTCAATTTGCACATTTTTTTATATGGATAGTCTTGATTATTTTTGCATTAATACCTTTCAGTGCAATGTGTTGTGAGATCTGATACCAGTTACCTATATAAATGGAGAACATCCACTGCCAACAGAGGCTGTGTTAACTGTACATTTTCCACCATTAACTTACTTTTAAAAATGTTTTTCGTCATTTAGGCTGATAAAATATCAGGTTCCTGGTTTACATTTACCTGCAGTACTTAAACAACATTATCATAGTACACAATACACTTGCACAATTACACAATTGCAAACTTACACACACAAAAAGATCTTAAAATAATAGTTTTAATAACTCATTTCTAACAATGGACTGATCTTTGCTATGATGACAGTACATACTATTTTACTAGATGTTTTTCAAGATACTAGTATTCAGTTTAAAGCACAATTTAAAGGCTTAAAGGTGCAGTAGGTGATCTTCCACAATGCTAACAGCTTAGCATAAATCTCTGAATCACAGTCCCTCCCCTGTCATTCAGAGCCACGCCTTCTGAAACACGAGCATGCGCACCTTAAAGATGACAGCAGAAGAACCCTCTCTCATGTGTTAAAAGCGACAAGTGCTTGACTGGTGGCATGCAGGAATTACACTCATTACTAAACCAAACTGACATGCTATTTCAGAGCGGATATTCAGAGTAGCATGGTAAACAATAGAAGGACAGCACCACAGGTTGTCATTGTTTAAAAATGAACCACTGGGATGTGAATATAAAACCATCTTCACCTCAGTAAAGCTGGCTAGGCGGAATAGCGCTATTTACTTGTGTTTTGTTGTTAATCTAAATAAAATCTACATTATAGATGATGTAAAAAGACCTTATGAAACTGAAAATAGTCACATCAATCTTTCATCGGAAGATTTTAGTGGCTGAACAAGACTTCTGTGCGGATATAACCCATTTGTAACAACAACATCAAACGTTACATCAGCTTTGCGTGAAGCTAAAATAGTTTTTAAACAGAACATTACCTGTCTTAGAGAAATACTTTAGCCATGGTGTCATCCTTTCTCCAGTGTGAAACGCTAACTCCAATATTGATTCAGGTTTTTATAAAGTTTTGATTCAGCATGTTTTTACAGTCTCTCTCTCCCTCTCTCTCTCTCTCTCTCTCTCTCTCAATTCAATTCAATTCAATTTAATAATTGCTTTATTGGCATGACAAATGTTACAAATGTATTGCCAAAGCAGTTATAAAGTTTACATAAAAAGTAACATATATATATATATATATATATATATATATATATATATATATATATATATATATATATATATATATATATATATATATATATACAGTACACACAGTAAATAGTAGTAGTAAAAAAATATATTTATATATAATAATTAAATAAAATATCAACAATACATCATATTATTCAATATATCACATTAATATTCAATATATTATATTATTATTCAACATATCATATTATACAAATCAATACAAAAATAGATCAGAATAAACTGTACATTTAACAATCAACATTTTAGGATAAAACAGTAATAAAAACAATAATAATCAGTATATTTACAATGATTCATTTAAAATCACCTAGGTGTGTGTGTGTGTCTCTTTCTCTCTCTCTCTCTCTCTCTCTCTCTCATGAACGCGGAATGCACAAACAGCGGAGCTGCGTACAAACGGCGGAGCAGTTGTTCAAATCTGCATTTGCTGACAGTTTGGGCTACTTATCGGAATTATGGGAGATGCCAGCCCGACTCTATTTAATTGGATATTCATTTTTTAGTTTTATATCTTATTCAGAGTATAAAAATATGTATAAATACATTTAGATCATTTACTTTAATCAATACTATTGGGATGTGTAGAGACTTTCAACCAGCACAGCAAAAAGTGTTTCTAGAGACAATCACCTGCTGCACCTTTAACTAGTTATTAGGCAAGTTAGAGTAATTGGGCAAGTCATTTGTATAACGATGATTTGTTCTGTAGACATTTGAAAAAATATAAATTGCTTAACGGGGCTAATAATATTAAAAACTGCTTTTATTCCACCCAAAACATAAGACTTTTTCCAGTAGAAAAAAATATAGGAAATACTGTGAAAATGTCAAAAATTTATATATTAAAAAAAGAAAAAAAAATTCACAGGTGGGCGAATAATTCTGACTTGCACTGTACATGCACACTGATACCTGTTATTGTTTTCACAAATATGCATGCATAATTTAAAGGGGCTAAATGCTAATTAAATGGTCTTTTGCAGCATGAAATGTTGTACATCAATCTCCTAAAATTGTTTCCATAATTTCCCTTCAGTCACATTTGAGGATAAGAAACGAGAGAACTTTGAGCGCGGAAACCTGGAGTTGGAGAAACGTCGACAGGCACTTCTGGAGCAGCAGAGGAAAGAGCAGGAGCGACTGGCGGCGCTGGAGAAAGAAGAGCAGGAGCGGAAGGAGAGGGAACGACTGGAGCAGGAGAGACGCAGACAGCAGGAGCTGGACAAACAGCTGGAGAGACAGAGGGAGCTGGAGCGACAGCGGGAGGAGGAGAGACGCAAGGAGATCGAGAGAAGAGAGGTGCGTTCTCAAGTTCTCGGAAATCCATGAGTGAAAAGTAGGGCCTGACAGAATCTGCTGACATTTGTTGCTATTTCTGCTGAGAATTTTGTTAAAAATCTGTGGATTTATGCGGAAATGTTGTGGGAGTATCATAACTAAAAACTTAATATATGAAATAAAAATTAATAACTTTTATTTAATGTTTTTACAATGCAAATCGAATTAGATCCACTCAAACAAAGCAAATCTTTCATATAATAAATCGACTAAACGACAGAAAATATTACTTTACAAACTGTATTGTAAATAAATCAAATGAACATTTTCATATCAGTCAATAATATTACTGAAAATAGTTTAAAAACTGAATAAATATAAATTTACACAAGTAAATAAATAGACTCAGTGATGGGACAAAAATCCGTGGATTTCTGCGCTCACAGATTCCGTGTGGGCCTAGTGATAAGTAGTGCTGAACAATATATTGTGATAAGTATGGTTATCGCGATAATAGCATATGCAATGATTGTATCGCTGTTGTGTGTAGTTGAATTACATTTTATTTAATACATTGGTTGATTTTAGCTACAGTTAAAGTCAGAATTATTATCCCTTTAAAATTACTTTTAAATTTTTACCCAATTTATTTTCAACTGAGTTTTTTCAACACACTTCTGAGCATAATAGTTTTAATAACTCATTTCTAATAACCGATTTCTTTTATCTTTGCCATGATGACAATATGTGCTATTTTACTAGATATTTTTAAGATACTATTGACTATTGTTCAGCTCAAAGTGCAATTTGAAGACTTAATTAGGTTAATTAGGCAAGGTATTGTATAATGATGGTTTGTTCTGTAGACTATCGAAAAATTCATCTGCTTAAGAGGACTAATAATATTGACCTTAAAATGTTTTTTGATTTTATTGTAAAATAAGTTTTTTAGGGAAATATCATTTAATATTGTTTTTATATTGTAAGAAATACTATTATGTTGGCGCCAGTGGTGTAGTGGTTAGTACAACGGCACATGCACTCGCGGCGACCCGAGTTCGATTCCGCCTCGCAGTCCTATGCCGATATTTCCCCTCTCTCTCTGCTTCCCATTGCTTTCCTGTCAATTCTCTCTACTTTCCTATCCAATAAAGGTGAAAACCCCGAAAAAATTACTATTAAAAAAAAAAAAAAAAAATGCTATTATATCATGCAATATTCAACAACATAGTCGCACATTTTCCCAGTGCCTTGAAGCCAGAGTGTTCAGCACTATTGACACTATCATTAACCCTTGTGTTATTTTGTGTGTGCTCTCACCATGATGCATATTTTATTTGAATGTGGACATTTAAGTACTGTTAGACAAAAACACTTTATTTTATGTTTTTAAAAGGAATCACCAGGATGAATTTGAAGTTATTTATCAAATATTAAATTGAGAAAAATCATGTTTGACTTTGTATTAATGTGAGCCATCTCTTAATGAATTATGAAGTTGTTCTATCATGTAGTGTTTTTATGCAAATTGATCTTGCCATGAAATAGCCATAAGTTGCTTATGTGGCAATAAATAAATAAATGATTTTGTGTGTTTGAAGGCTGCTAAACGGGAGCTGGAGCGACAGAGGCAGCTGGAGTGGGAGAGGACGCGCAGACAGGAGCTGCTCACCCAAAGGAACAGAGAACAGGAGAACATCGTCCTGCTCAAAGCACGGAAGAAAACTCTCGAGTTTGAGCTGGAGGCTCTGGCATGTGCACTTTCATCTCTCAGAAAAATAATTGTCTAAACTACTTACTTAGAATGAGCCGAAACAACACAATTCTTGAGATATTTTTTGGAGACAACTTACTTTTTTATGTTCTATCCACTTAAACTTGTCAAAACCAATGAACTTAATTTATTTGTGTTGGGACATCGTGAATGACTTGTTTTTGACCCTGCATTTTTACAGTGGTGGTTAACACTTTTAAATACGTAGGGTATAAACAATTAATTTTGCTTGATCAAATAACATGCTTAAAATCATCTGAAATAACACAATTCTCAAGTTTTTTGGGGAGCAACTTAATTGTTTTCTGTTCAGTTCACTTAAAGTAAAAAAAAACGAACAAATTTTAGGTTGTTTTAACACCAATTGATTGCATTTTTACAGTATGTAGAACAAATTTAAAGTGCCATATATATATATATATATATATATATATATATATATATATATATATATATATATATATATATATATATATATATACACAGTAAAGTCAGAATTATTAGTCCCCCTAAATTATTAGCCCCCTGTTTATTTTCAACACATCTCTAATCATAATAGTTTTATTAAGTAAATAATATTTGACTAGATATTTTTCAAGACACGTCTTTACAGGTTAAAGTGGAATTTAAAGGCTTAACTAGGTTAATTAGGTTAACTAGGCAGGTTAGGTTAATTAGACAAGTTATTGTATAACGATGGTTTGTTCTGTAGACTATCGAAAAAAATATATGGCTTAAAGGGGCTAATAATTTTGACCTTCAAATGTTTTTTTTTATTAAAAACGGCTTTTATTCTAGCCAAAATAAAACAAAATAACACAAATAAGACTTTCACCAGAAGAAAAAATATTATTAGTTGTACTGTGAAAATTTCCTTGCGTTGTTAAACATCGTTTGGTAAATATTTTTAAAAATCCAAAAAAAAAAATAAATAAATAAATTAAAGGGGGCTTAATAATTCTGTGTAATTCTGACTTCAAGTGTGTGTGTGTGTGTGTATGTGTCTGTCTGTCTGTCTGTCTGTCTGTCTCTGTCTGTCTGTCTGTCTGTCTGTCTGTCTGTCTCTGTCTGTCTGTCTGTCTGTCTGTCTGTCTGTCTGTCTGTCTGTCTGTCTGTCTGTCTGTCTGTCTGTCTGTGTATGCGTGCGTGCGTGTGCGTGTATGTGCGTGTGTGTGTGTGTACATTTTTTTTAATGTAGTGTGTAATATACAAGGTTTTCATGGGCCTTAAATAGCTTTTACCTTCTGATCTTTCCCATAGTGAAGTAGTCCACATTTAAAGTAAATTTACAGAAAAGTTATTTCTATAATCAAATGGTTGAATCGGAAGTATTCAAGAGTTTAAATAATTATTAATAATAATTAAAATTATTAGCACATTAATTTAAAATGAAGATCAGTGTGTTTTCTTTGAAATTATTTAGCTATAAACACAACTCTTCATGTGCTGCCTAGAAATTATTCAAAGTTCTCAAGATATTGCTTTATTGTTTCCCCTTTGTTCCCATTGTTTTAAGTTCTCTGTAGTTGGTGTTAAACGGGTCTTTAAAAAGTCTAAAATTTACTTTCTTAAAACCTACCGAAACTCTGAATGCAGTTGTTTGTGAATGTAAAAGGTTTTAAAGTGCACAATGAAGGGAGTTATTGTCTCCCAAAAGTTGTCTTTAATTCCAGTTTTATTTTCTTCACATGATAAACGATGATAAAATCAACCTTTTGACTTGAAGATGGATGTAAACCAATTATAAGAGACGTTTAAAACAAAGCCAAGAGACTTGTAGGTCACATTAAAGCTTCCTTTTGCAATTATTGTATCATTAGCTTTCCCAGTGATGGGTTGCAGCTGGAAAGGCATCCCGTGCGTAAAACATATGCTGGATAAGTTGGCAGTTCATTCCGCTGTGTCGACCCGGGACTAATTAAGGGACTAAGCCGAAAAGAAAATGAATGAATAATGAATCATTAGCAATACCAACCGTGACTAATCTATTTGAGCAGGCCCACATGCATATTGAGCTTAATAGTTTGACATCTGTTGTGCTTTTTGCTTCTTCTCTAGAATGATAAGAAGTCTCAGTTGGAGGGGAAACTGCAGGATATTCGGTCCCGTCTCTCGATTCAGAGGCATGAGATCGAGACCACCAATAAGACTCGGGAGCTCCGCATTGCAGAGATCACAAGCCTGCAACAGCAGCTGCAGGTGTGCACTCTGGCTTACAAACTGAAGCATCATCAGCATCCTTTCAGCGTTTGAATTAGCCTCGCTTCTCTAGTTGGGGTGTTTGTTTTTTGAGTGTGTGTAAAAAAAAGTGGAAGTTTAAACTTGTCGTGATTTGAGACTAGTGCTTCAATCTATGCATTTATAATATATGTATGTGTATTTATGTATTAGTGCTGGGCAAAATGAATTTCATCCAAAATATAAGTTTGTTTTGACAATGTAGACTGATTGGCCACTTTATTAAGTACACCTTACTAGTACCGCGTTGGACCCCCTTTTGCCTTCAATACTGCCTTAATCCTTGATGGCGTAGATTCAACAAGGTACCAGAAATATTCCTTAGAGATTTTGGTCCATATTGATATGAAAGCATCACGCAGTTGCTGCAGATTTATCGGCTGCACATCCATGATGCGAATATCCCGTTCCACCACATACTAGAGGTGCTCTATAGGATTAAGATCTGGTGACTGTGGAGGCCATTTGAGTACAGTGAACTCATTGTCAAGTTCAAGGAAGCAGTGTGACATGATTCACGGTTTATGATATGGCGCGTTATCCTGCTGGAAGTAGCCATCAGAAGATGAGTACACTGTGGTCATAAAGGGATGGACATGGTCAGCAATGATACACAGGTAGGCTGTAGCAGAGACATGATGCTCAATTGTTAATAATGGGACAAAAGTGTGCCAAGAAAATGTATCCCCGTGTCATTACACCACTCCACCACCAGCCTGAACTGTTGATACAAGGCAGGATGGATCTAAATTCTGACCCTACCATCTGAATGTTGCAGCAGAAATCGAGACCAAGCAAAGATTTTCCAATCTTCTATTGTCTAATTTGTACAAACTTTTATTTTGGATGCAATTAATTGTTGCCGAGCACTTGTATGCATGTAGGTCTGTGTGTATATGTGCGAATAGATAACAGGATTCAAATTGTTCTGTGTATAAATGTTTCCAAGTAATCAGAGAATTTTATAAGTTTTCTCTCTTTTTTTTTCCTCATTAGGAGTCTCAGCAGTGGTTGAGTCGCTTGATTCCTGATAAACAGTGTCTGAATGACCAGCTGAAGCAGGTTCAGCAGAACAGTCTGCACAGTAAGAGCATTTTCCTCAGTGCAGTTTTCAGTTCATGTCTAGCTCAGTGTAAAAAAAAGCTACTTAAAAGAGCTTGGAAAGCTGTAAGCATTATGGGGCAAAGCAGGAGTAAAAAAAGGAAAACTGCTATCTGTCAGTGGCCCATACTGACTTGAGTATCTAAAGTAAATTGAGTAGAAATGCAAGATGTTTATATTTAAGGAGTGCTTATTTTAAATTTAGGCACACAACGGGATTAGGCTCGGGAACTAGAGCATTTGAAATTTGTATTTTTATCAGTGTTTGAGTGCTGTGTCAATCTGCTAACGGATCCGCTGATAGACTCTGCTTTCAAATGCTTCAGTGTCTAAGTGCTCTTGTAAACTGGTGATTATTAAAGCCAATCACAGTCATATCTGCTTTGTTTGTAAACACAATGGCCATTTAGCAGTGTTTGTAGATCAAATAAAAAAATATATATAAAATTTTAATTTTATTTGTCTCATAAACAGTATGATATGTAATCACATGCTTACACAACTACTGGTGACCTTACCAATAAATAATAAGAAAAATTTAAATGTGAAGTAAAGAAAAGCTATCTATACAAACATAGAAGCATAGTGTTTCGCTCAGTAACACTCACATTTTTTTTACATTTTGTGTAGAAGTTGGTATTTCCGACACAACTACCATCAAATACCGACACCTGACTACTGCTTAACCAAATAATACAGAAGCAGGATCTTCTCATAATTATTCTCAAGTACTCTCAGTCCTACGCCAGGTCACCACCAGTGATGCTGCTTGATATTTTAAACCTCAAAATAGCTCAAAATTAGCCAATTGTTCCTTGCAAATAAAGCTAATAGATGCTAACATCGTCCTAATTGATGTTCAACAAATAAATCTGCTCTAAAAGTTAGTCTGGGGTTTCAAGACATATAAAGACCTTGAACTCTTGGTAAAAAAATGTTTTTTGGTCTAAAATTCTGTAAAAAAAAATTCTGTCAAACTGTCAATAAAAAAAAGGTAAAAATGTGTCACTTTATTTGATGTTTTTGTGCAAACGTTAGTCTGTTTTATGCTGGAATTTGCTTTGAGGGCAAATTAATGATGCATTTTCCAGACTTAAATGCTTAATATTGTTGGCAGATTTAATAAAAAACAAACTCATCTGTTTGTTGCTGGAATCTTGGCTTCTGTTTTCTGCCATAATAATTCAAAGCTCCTGTAAAATTGGTGAGGTTCAAACTGATTTTCATCCCAACACGTCTTTGTTTTGCAAAACACTTTAAATTATGGCTACTTAAATCAATGTTTGTAGTAGTCTTGACCTTTAACTGACCTATGTGGATCATTAGTAACATTTAAACCTAATTATTATCTGTCCAATGAGTTATCGACTTCTTGCGTTTAGCACTCCATGTAAAATGTTATGAATGTTGAATTGTTGTTGTAAATGTATATTTAGTGAACTTACTGGCTGTTAAAACTTATTAAATAAAGCTTATCTTTTTATACAGAATGGATCATGAGGATGGTAATCTCTCAGGATTCCCTTTTAACAGTTGTCTGCTTATTTCTGCTTTGTAGGAGACTCTTTGAACAGTCTTCAGAGGGCCATTGAAATGAAAGAATCCACCAAACAGCAGCTGAAAGAACAGCTGGATGCTGTGGAGAAGGAAACTCGCTCCAAACTATTGGAGATCGACGCCTTCAACACACAGCTGAAGGTAAGGAAGCTCTAAACACTCTCTCAAACACACACACGCAGACAGCTCTAGAAGATCTCCCACATACTTTTCTTGTGTAGATTTAGTTTGTATTATGTTTATGTTTTGCATTGTGTGTGTGCAGGGTGCAAAATTAACATTTGTGCCAAAATTCAAGTAAACGCTTGTCTAATTTATGACCAATTTATTGTAACTATGACATAATATATTAGTTTAAAGGTGCTGTATGTAAGTTCCCGGATTGAAAATATGTTTTCCGTGCCGGAACGCAGACTTTGTTTTGGTTCTTTTACCCTGCCCAATGCCAGTTTAGCCAATTATATTTCAGCGCCCCGGGTTGTCTTGGTGGAAAAACGCGTATTTCATTCATTTGTTCAGAAAGGCTCTGACGGCATGCGCCTGTGACCAAAATGCGACCTCCAGTGGAAAGTAGCAAACTCCAAAATGAGACGCAGATTCAGAGTTCCACATGAGGTTATTAATTAGCAAATAATATAAATATTACGACTGTAAACATTAGGTGAGCAGGTTACATTGTCACCACATGTCCTAACAACACGCGAAGTGACGAGATATGAAATGATAAGCAATTTGGCACCAGCCAAAACACGACAGAAATTTAAATACAGCCATTCAGAAGGACAGAATGTGCACTCACTCACGAAATAGTTACGTTTATAATCTGTTTAATACATATTACCCCTCTTCAACATTATTAGATGTGCATGCTGAATCACTCACATGTTTTTAGTTCTAAAGTTCAATTTCAAACAGTTTATTTTCAAGGTCTGAGGTGAACTATCTACTGCTGCTTTTAGTATAAGGCAATAAATGTCATGTAAAATGGCATTCAAGCTCATATTGTTAGCAATTATCACTGAATAAAGCACATGAGGTTTACCAGAGGGGATCCTTGTATTGTGTTGTTCAGCTCCAAGAAATAGTAGCCGTTTCTAATATATCAATTCAAGGTGTTGTTTACAATAAATACTAATTTTAATATGGAAAATATTCCTTCTATCGGGTGCTGTTGCTTTTATATAGAACACTACTTAAATCAGCCTTTAGGCTCGATCGTCAGACTCGCTCCTGTTAGTCAATCTGGCAACCTGTCCTTGTTTGTTTTGATCTGCGATCATAATTACTGGGTGTCAAACTTACATACGGCACCTTTAATAATTTGCATTTCTGATGCAAGCAAATTAAATGATTGATGGACATCAATATAGTTTTTTATTTGGGCCAAAACATATGACACTTTTTTTAGCAAGTTTGTGGTTAAGAAAATTGCTAAGAATCTATCTCATGGTTCTCAAGGCTGTATTTATTTTATTAAAAAACAACAGTGAAATGGCAGTAACCCATCTGTGTCACACGAAATCATTTTAATATATCTTTATCAATATATATATCTTTAATTAATGCTGAACATAGTTGAGCCTAACATTTTATTTTTTTTATGATGCACTAATCAATAAAAACAGCATTTATTGGAAATAAAAATCATCTGTACTATAACTTTTATAAATGCAAACTTTCTGAATAAGTTAAAATTTCTTTATAATCAAAAAGTCAATTTATTAAATGCAAACTGCTTTATCATTGCCAATACAAAAATAAAGTAATAATGTTACTTTTGAACCCTGTGTGTGTGTGTTTGTGTGATTGAAAGAGGAAGTAGGAGAAAGCATTATATTGACCTTCTTCCCATGCACACTTCATGTCTGCTAAGACCTCTTTATAATGCCATACGTGCCTTCGATCAGACTTAGAGAGTGTGATAAAGCAGAAACATTTCACTACATCACACCATCTCTTGTTCCTCTCTCACTGTATCTGCCTGCTGCTCACTCTTTCACCCTCGTCCTGCGTTCATCCTGGTCGACTCCCTCTCCACCTCACCTACTATCCGTGTTTATACGGCTTGCCTGGCCCTCTTTGTTCTGGCTTGACCGCGCTTCGCCCCTCCCTTTACCCCTCGTGGTGTTGCAGTCCTTGGGGCTCTTCTATCAGAGCTATGCAACCAGGATGGAGAACCTGCAGTTGGAGCTGCTTGTTGAAGATCAGAGGGGGCTACAGGTAGACCGCCTAAAAATGAGCTTAACCCCCTCAAAAACTACCAGCACCAAACTGTTCCCCTCTACTCACAGCACTATGCTCTCTGTTGCCCTTCATGAGGGAAGTTGGAGTAGCACCCTTCCAGTTGTGTCTTGTCTTGACTACTTCCCTTTACTAAGCCATCAACAGGACTCAGCAATCAAGATATGTTTTATCTGCTCAGGTTTTTGTTGTAGCCCTGTGGTTACATTATGGATAATTTTATTTAATAATTATAATAATTGCTCAGTTAAAAAATCAGCTGATTTAAAAACACACAGTTAACGATAGTGATGGGATGTTTAGATCATTTTACTGACTCGAATCTTTGAGTCCCGCTTGTCAAGATGAACATCTTATTTCAAGTCATTTCCTTCAATTTGCCAAACTATTACTAAATGTTATGAGTTGCTTCCAAACACCTCTACAACAAGCCCAAAATATTGGTCACATGACAAACAAGTCATAGGTAGAATGCTATAAGAAAGAGAAAATAGAATTTTTTTATTGTTTACCTGGTCTTTTGTCTATGATTAGCTCAGCTCAACTCTTCTGATGGGTCTTCAAATTTAAGCTGTTCATTCACGTGACACTGACAGTCCTATATAAGCTTATCCAATGCACATAATCTGATCCATTTAACAATTCATAAAAAAATAACACAAAATAATATAAACTGATGTTCAAAAGTTTAAGAAATAGTGATGCTTTTAATCTTGTTCTTTGTTCAATCTGTCTGCCTTTATTTGAGTGAAATACAGTTTAAAATTATTATTAATTTGTTAAATATTCTAAATGATTATTTTCTACATGAATAGCTTTAGCAGATATTATCATTCTAATATTTCTATTTGGTGTATAATGCCGAGTTCAGACTGCATGGTTTTTGTCCCGTTTTTGACTCGCCAACAGGTTTTGAGAAATCGCCAGCAAATGCCTAAAATCAAAGGCAAATCAGGGCTTTGTTTACTCACGTGAGTAAACAATCACACAGTGTGAAGTGAGCCATTAACACCTGTGAGATATTTGGTGTACTAAATATCTGGAGCCGTCGGCAATACAAAATCATGCCGTGTGAAATGAATTCTGATTGAAAATAACCTTCGCGGTTACCTACAGCCAATGAGAGAGCAGCATTCACTAGTATGGGTATCTGCAGGCCAACAGGTGGTTGGGGGAAAAGTTAAAAGGGCTTTTTAGTCTGTTTGGACCCAAGAAATGGAGGAAAAACTAGTGTAAAATGGCAGGAGCACCCGTGTCTGTTTGATGTGTCATCTGAGCCATACCACAACCAGGTCAAAAAAGAAAAAAGTTTGAGAGAAATTGCTAATTCCCTTCAAAACCAAACCCCACTAAAGGCCTCTTTCTCATTATGTAGTTAATAGCAACATATATACTACATGACCTCGTATTGTTTTCATGTCATTTCTCTCATGTGTTTGGTTGTTAGACGTAGTTTGTGGACAGAGTCAAAGTTGTCAGCGTTTCTGCTATTGTAATGTCATGCAGTGTGAAACCCCCTGTCACCGATCCATTCTGCAGTGTAAACAGCAACAACAGAATTCTACCTCAGATAGTCAAACAGTGTGAAAATATCTGTGACTTGTCTACTTTGAATATCATGCAATCTGAAATCGACATCATAAAGAGATGTCTCATAACCAGGCACTCGTGAAATGAACAAATCAAATCTTTTTCCGTCTCTAAATGCATATGATTGGCTTCTGTCTTTCATGTGATGAACGAATAACTCAAACCCGATAGAAGACTAGAAAAAGGAATTAATCTTCTCCTCCACCTGCACAATGTGTGCATGCGCGACTGAACGAATCACTCCCTGAGAGGGCTCACCATAATCGCGGGTAGCATAAAAGATTCATTCAAAAGGAGCACTTTGTTGAAGAATTAGCCATCACTAGTTGATTATGCCTTTCTTATTTATTCTTTATAATCTTTATAATAAAATAAATTTGGGAAATTTATTTCCCAAATGATATTTAACAGAACAAGGATTTTTTTTTGAGTATTTCTTATTGTATTTTTCTTTTATATCTTATTTAGTTTAGCTGGAATAAAAAAAATGTGAAATTGGCTAAGGTCAATATTATTAGCATTTTTACATTTTTTTTACATTTTCTGTCAATTGTCTTAACAAATTAGCCCAACCTCTCTAGTTAAGCCTTTAAACTGCACTTTAAGCTGAATATGAGTTTCTTGCAAACCAAAAAACACATTATGTACTTTAATCATGGCATAGACAAAAGAAAAAATCGTGTATATATATATATATATATATATATATATATATATATATATATATATATGTGTGTGTGTTTTTGTGTGTGTGTGTGTGTGTGTGTGTGTATAAATTATATATATATATATATGTATATATGTGTGTATATATATGTATATATGTGTATATATATGTGTATATATGTGTGTGTATGTATGTATATATATATATATATATATATATATATATATATATATATATATATATATATATATATATATATATATATACACATATATACATATATACATATAAAGTTTTATAGATGAACTAATAGTTTTATCTTCAACTGTAGTATTTAAGGGAAACCTAAAATGCTATTAGTTTGCTTCTCTGACATCCATAATTTCATCAAGGCTTTTACATATTTAAAAAACAAAATCATAATTTAAAAGTAATAGATTATACCCTGCCCTGTGTTGATGCACCTGATCAGAACACACATCATAGTCGATTGTAGACGTGACAGAAAATGATTGAACAGTTTTGCGTATTTAATAATGTTTGAAAGTTCAAATTGACTCAAATTTTCCACAGGTTTTTACCCTTTTCATTGATTACAGAGCCATCTTTATTCAATTTAGTTTCTTTCATATGCACAAATTAT